TCTCTTCTACAAATCCATTTATAGCAGCAGCCGTCTCCTCCGCCTTGCAAAAATCCGCGGTCACCGCATCGCCCTTGAGGTGTAAGGACGCCTGACGGGCGAATTGAATAAACTGCTCGTCGTTGGCTAACGAGGACCCTACATAGATCCTGTTTGCAGTATCGAGCTGTATAGAGGGCTCTGTTTCCCATGGGGTTAGGGCTTCACGCAAGTCAGGGAGGTCAAGGGACGAGGCGAAAGAGAAATGCTGATCCATCTCTTCTCGTGTGGCTCCTCGTGCGCCCATCTGTGCCATTTTGAAGACGGAGAGAATGCTGAAGGGGGAGAAGACAAAGTTCAACCCCCCTTGTTCCGCCTTCTCCATGGCTATTGAGTTGTACAATTCAGAGGCCACCACGGCCATGTTTTCAGAACCCCGAGACGTGCCATCCGGAGTACCCATGATGCATACTCCACAACTAAAAAGACTTAGTGTGAGAATATACACACGCAGCATCTTTGGCACTGCAGGCAGTCGCTCAGGCCAGCAGCATGCAGGTCTGGGAACAACCGATGCGAAGCAAACTGTCGGAAGAGGGGGGAAAAACGGGAGAAAGTTGTAAAATATGAGGACGTGAACTATTTTGAAAGGTATACAGGTAAAACAAATTGAATTTAAAGTTGCTCGGAAAGTTAAGCTTGCATCGTTCTTACCGGCATCGAGCCTCTCAGAGCGGGACCGGCGGTCACACTTGGCCCCGACCCACGAAGCGTGCGTGCACGCACCATCCTTTTCCGTTGCGTTTGAAAACCTTAGCTTTGAAGAAAAGAATGTTTACCACACAAAGACAGTTTCGTATTATTTGCAACACAAAACCGTTTTCGTGTGCCATTATTCGTTTCTAAATTGGTGGGAAACAATGTTCTGGCTCCTAGGGCCGTCGAGCCCAAGGTCTCTTCAGAGACTCCGTGCTAGAGAAGCATAAAAGCCTCCGGTTTCGAACCACTGGTCAGTCAGTCATCTGCCTACATGCATGTAATGGTATGGACATATGTCTCTACGGAGCACAGTGGACAGTGCTACGGCACGTGACCGCTGTGAGTCGCAGGGTAAGTTCCATGAGTATAGTGCTACCCCTCCTATATTCCTCACCTCGGTTCATCCCAATCGCCAGCGCTCTAGTGTAGGCCACCAACTGAGCTCGCTATTTGGCAGCTGGGTCGAAAACTGTTGTCCTACTTTTTAGCAACAACGCAAAACTCATCCTCTGAAAACGGAATAGGGAGTGCGCAACCGGCGGCATAGGGCTTCTAGCAGTCTTTCATACCTTTAGACCGCTCGACACAATGTCTAAGGGGGTTAACGAGGTACAATCATTTGTGAAAACTTTATTTTAACCACCGGGGCGTAAGCAACGGCACTCGAAACCCAGAGGGTTGAAAGCGCCTATTAATCATATTTATTCAGAAAGATACGGAAGAGAAACTGATCCACCTCAATGCCTTATATCTAAATTTGGTGAATGTATGTGATACATTCAGTACTCCTCTGGAACGAGGTGCAAACGGAGAAGCAACCAGTACCTATCGTATATACGTAAGGTATAACGTAAAGGCGAAGACGAAAGGAGGCTGCAGGTGCACCTCAACACCATAAAGGGGAGACTACTGCAGTTTGCGTGGCACGGTGATGCCAGGTTCAGGTCCTGGGGAAAGGAAAATTTCGGAGAAAGGGGATGTCCATGTACTTCTGGGAATCTGTGAATACAGAACAGGAGAAAGCAGGAAAACGAGCAAATGCAAAACAAAGCAATTCAACTCATGAAAAGCCAGCGGCCGAGGACGAATCCCACCGACATGATATTCAGTGCTTTGGTGCATTCGCACAAAGTGCGGCTGACCTTCTCCTTAGTCCCCAGCCGGCCTGGAACCGGCGGCGTAAGGGCCTAGGTACCAGTGATCGCGAACTGCCTAGCACGACTTCCAATGCTGCCCGCCGCAGCTCATGCTTTAAGGCAAACCCAGATACACGCACAACCAGGCCTGTATTTCTGCATGCACTCACGCTGCTGACAACTTTCGAGCACTCAGTGGGCAGACCAAGTTGACAGACTACAACGAGAGGCCTGGATCTTATTCGACGGCCGTCCCGAGCGGTTGTGAATCCAATATACTTTTATCTAGGCGTTACCTAAAAGCAACTGACATACCCTTGTATCCAGGCGTCCTTAGCGCGCCAGCTAACAACCTGGGGCGCTGGAAAGGAAGCGGTCTGAGCTGAGTTTAATCGCCGCGAATTTCCGTTACACGCAGCTAACTATGCAAGGCAGCATCACATGCAAACATAACCAAACCTTCTTTGCTGCATGCACTACCTATGTACATACTTGTTGAGCATTTATGAATTCCTTGTACGCAACCTACCACAGTCTACGGAATGTTCCTCCGTAGTCCGGACAGACTGTGCCACATATTCACCATCCAAGCAGTACACGAGAGCACATGTGCAGGGAGAAATGCTGCATCCTTTGTGTGAAAGTGGTAACTAAAGAAGTATCCGTTGCGACGAAATAACCCAGCCAAAAATACAGACAAAACACGAAGGCGCATGGAAGCGGCGCCAGCAAGACAACCCGTTGGTAGAGCAACGCTGTCGAGTGAGGAGCATTCGGAGAATATATGCAATCTTCCGTTTCGCAATTGACTTCTTACAGATGTTTTTTCACGTTTCCCCTTATATTTGTTAGTGCTACGGTGGAAGAAATAGAATAAAGTTACAAGACTTCATCACAGCCCCAGGGAGCACTGGTGACGCACCGGACTTGTGGGGCCGTTGGGGGCAGCCCCGACTGTGCACATTGCAAGTTGCTTGGTCTGATGGGAACAAGACCTAACTCTTGGGATAGACTGTGTTTTTGCTGGACGTCCCACACTGCCTTGTTAAATCTTAAACCCTAAACCCTAAACCGCCGAAGATGCTAGCTTCTTCTGCATCCGCCGCCGCCCGCAGCGGCAGAAGGGCAGTAACTTCGTCCTTTCATCAACTACAGCAAGTCAGAAATGTTTCCAAAGATATACGTTTTGGTTCCGATGCTCGCATGCAGATGTTGGCAGGTGAGAATACGAAGGGAATGGGAACTTTTTGTTTGACCTCGAAGCCTAGTCAATCGAGGTCATGCTTGGTCAGGTCGTTTCGCAGATTTCCTTCGTTCTTGCAGTATCGCTATATGGGGCTCTCAGATGTTTGCATCGGTTCAAGTTTATGAATTGCGTGTATTCCTGTGAACGTTTTCGACTTGAGTGTTCGACTGGGAGCATGCACGATAGCTTGGACGGAGATGTTTGTTTCTCTTCTTTTCAGGCTGCAATCGTCTAGCAGACGCAGTTGGGGTCACTTTGGGGCCAAAGGGGCGCAATGTAGTGATTGCGCAGCCTTTCGGCTCGCCCAAGATAACGAAGGACGGCGTGACGGTTGCCAAGGCGGTGGAGTTGGCGAACAAAACTGAAAACCTTGGCGCCCAGTTGCTGAAACAGGTGGCAGCCACTACAAATGACATTGCCGGTGACGGCACGACCACTGCCACTATCTTGGGCCGGGCTATCTTCAAGGAGGGGTGCAAAGCGATTGACGCTGGCATGAACCCTATGGACGTCCTCCGAGGTACCTCTCCCCCCAACTCAGCATATCTTCGTTTCGTGCTCTGCAGATAGTTCTCGTAGTGTGTAGTTTGCATAGAAGTGTTATTTGGATTCAGTGCATGCGTTTGGCGATGCATTGGCTTCTGTTGGCTGCAGGCATTCACCTGGCGGTTGAGCACGTGTTGTCGGCTCTGTCTGCGTCGCGGAAGGAGATCTCGACGACGGAGGAAATCGTCTCAGTAGCAACGATCAGCGCGAACGGTGACGCGCAAGTGGGGCAGTTGATAGGGGAGGCTATGAAGAAGGTGGGCCGTGAGGGAACGATTACCGTCTCGGAGGGGAAGGCACTGCAGCACGCGCTGGAGGTGGTGGAGGGGCTGAGATTTGACCGAGGATATCTCAGCCCGTACTTCATAACGAACGCGAAGGAACAGAAAGTTGAACTGGACGCGCCATACGTCCTTCTGGTTGACAAGAGATTGTCCCAAATACAACAACTCCTCCCCGCCCTTGAGTTCGTCCTGCAGAACCAGGCAGCACTGCTCATCATTGCGGAGGACGTTGAGAGGTGCGTACACTCCAAATAAATTCATTACGACGATCCACGTCTCTCCTCGGTGGACTCTCTTTCCGCTTCCCTTCCGAAGTGTCGTGTTCGAGTGTCTGCTCTCCTTAAGCAGTCGTTGCCGCTTCTGTGACTGCACTGTGTGGGCATCTTCGTGCATTTCGGACCGTGTGTGTGGCTCTGGGAACCTTCATTCCCTGTGCGTGTGTTTGGTCCCTGCTTGGGTGCATCTGCCTTCTCACCTTGCTCCGCCGGAGGAGAGTTTGAGGGCGGCGGCTAAAGTGTTTGTGCTGTTAGAGCTAGGATTGTATCCTGTCTGTATGCCGTGGATACACAGCACGGATATGCGCATTCGTTTGTTTCCCTTGACAGCTGAGGACTCAAGTTCAGCTCTGTAGTGTTTGTTTACTGGGCAATTTTTGAGGGGAGTGTGTTTGTTGCCTCGTATACGTCTCCGTAGAGAAGTTGCTCCGTCGGCAACGGGGTGTAGGGAAGCGGCGGCTGTGCAGCTGTTCATGCCTGCCTTTGTTGTTTGCCTGCGTCTGCCTTCAGCGAGGCCCTTGCGACACTGGTAGTCAACAAACTGCGTCTCGGCCTCCGCGTCTGTGCGGTGAAGGCCCCCGGTTTCGGTGACGGCCGCAAAGCGCAGCTCTACGACCTGGCCACCCTCACAGGGGGCAAGGTAAACCCTAAACCCTAAACCCTAAGCTGCTGCTTCTCACGCCGATGGCTTAGGCAGGATTACGCCAGAGCCAGTGATTTAGGGTTTAGGGGATGCATCTGCAGCTCGCTCGATACCTTGGGGAGCGGTTGCTGTTGTCTCGAACTTTTCTCCTTAGAGCGCTTTTTTCCTGTTTTTGTCTGATGCTGCAGGTGCTCAGCGACGACACGCCTTCCATTGGAGACGAAAAGGCAGACATCGTTGGGATGCTGGGCCGTGTAAGGACTGTACAGACACGCAAATTGCAGAGAGGCGTCTTGATAAGAACGTGTTTCCCAGTATCCGCATATGTTGCGTTTATGCACAGAGATATTTGCTTTCATTGAATGCTTATTCTGTGTGCACCTGAGTTTATCTGAACATGTGGGCGTATATGCATATGTTGCGTGTTGAGGGCACTGGAGGGAACCCCAGTTTACATCAGCAGCAGGAAGAGGGGGCCGTTCGAGTTGTAGATGTAACTCTTTAGGGTTTAAGGTTTGGGGTTTAAGCTTTGGGGGTTGCACTGTGCAGGCGAAGAGCGTGGTGGTCACGAAGGACTCGACGTTGATGATGGAGGGCAACGGATCAAAGACAGACATTTCTGAAAGGTGTGAACAGCTGAGGAACCTCATCAAGCAGACCAGCTCTGGTAGGTGCCCACTCTCCGTCTTCCTGCGTGGGCATAGTTCGCTTCTTTTTTTGTATATTTTGCTGTACGTATGCCGTCTCAGTTTTCCTCATGTTTGGCATGTTTGTTTGCATATTGTGTTTACTCGCCTGGCCTCTCGGTGCGATGTGAAGCAATAGGGCCATTCCTCCATACTTTTCATCCACACTGAATTGCCAAGTGTGTCTGGGGTTGGTTTTGTATTTCGTATTGTCGTGTCTGCCGCTCTATGCGTTTTACATACATCTGTAGTCATCTGTGCATGCGCATGTTTATGTGCGTATCAGCATAGATATACGTGTATATCTATATATAGACATGTATGTGTGTCTTTGGCTGCTGCAGAGTACGAAAAGGAGAAGCTGCAGGAGCGCCTTGCACGGTTAACTGGGGGAGTGGCGGTGATAAAGGTTGGTGGAGCCTCTGAGGTGGCGGTAGGCGAGGCGAAAGACCGAATTCAAGACGCCCTGTGCGCTACACGAGCTGCAGTTGAGGAGGGTATTGTCCCAGGAGGAGGCGTCGCTCTTCTCTATGCTTCGCAGGTGATGCTGCTTTTCCTGCAGGTTGTGGTGCTATTGCTGCTGATTCAGCTGCTGTTGGTGTTACTGGCGCTGTTGGTGGTGGATTCGATGCTTGTTACTGTCGTTGGTATTATCCGTTTGTTATTGTTTGCTGTTGTTTTGCTAATGGTATTCCTGTTGTTTGTTTGTATTCGTGCGTTGCATGTATGCGTGCGGTGTATCATTCTGGAGTACGTCGATGTTTTGTTTCATTGATTGAGGTGTATGCTTTGTGGCTGTGTACTGATTATTGGTGTTTAGGGTTTGAAAGATTTGAAGGTCGATAACGCAGAACAGCGCATGGGCGTCGAGATCGTCGAGAAGGCGTGCCAGGTGCCGTGCAAACTCATTGCAGATAACGCAGGACACGAGGGGGCGGTGGTTGTTGGTAATCTGTTGCGCCTCAAGGACAATAAGATGGGCTTCAACGCACAGACAGGCTGCTACGTGAACATGGTTGAAGCAGGTGAGCATACACTGTCTGCGATGAGAAACACCAGAAACAGACTGCAGAAATCCACATGGAGACAAACGAACGCAACACGCAGAAACGAATATAAGATGGGGGATAGATTGTAGATACTAGAGACGAAAACAATATTTGCTGACAGGTAGTAAAGGGAGGTAGACAGAAGCAGATAGAGAATAATAGAATTGACTCACGAAGGGACAGACACGGAAGGAGGTGCAGACTCTGGCACTCCCTGCCACAGAAATAGCTGGAGAGTGTGAAAATAGAAGACCGTGTGCAACACAGAAAGGGGTATCAGTGTAGCTACAGCACGTGCTAGATTTAGTCACGTGCTATATTTAATCGAGGTGCATTTGCACTTGCATATACATATTCACGCTCCCTGTGCATCTGTATCTTTTAGCTACTGGTTATCGAGCCCTGTGTTTTGGCTGCTTTTGTGACTGCTGTTCTGTTCGTTTTCGTTGGTCTCATTTGCTTCACTCATCTTTGGTAGATCACGCATATGCGTTTCTTGTCCTTGTCGCTTAGTTGTTGCAAAGCTGCTGTATTTTCTAATGCTATTCTGCTGTTTTGATGATAGTTTTGTCTTGGGCTGTATGTTGTGTATTATTTGCAGGCATCATAGACCCAACCAAAGTTGTCAAGACTGCCTTGAGCGACGCCTCTTCAGTGGCATCCCTGATGGCAACAACAGAGGCCTCTATCGTAGATGCCCCCGAGAAGAACCCACCCCAGGGAGAGGGGATGGGGGCTCCAGGAGGCGGCATGCCCATGGGGGGAATGTTCTAAGGGACTGGACGCCCTAGACCCTGGTGTAAATATACACACGCCTGAAGAAGGTCGGTGTAATACCCACCTACAGTAGCGCCGCCGCTGCAGCAACACCGCGTGCAGCAGCAAGCATGCAGCAACGGCTCCACCACGAAGGGCTGCAGCAGAAGCAGCAGTAGCAGTTTCAGCTGCAGCAGCTGTCGGTGCAGCAGCAGAACTAGTTCGATCTGCGACGGCAGAATTAGTTTCAGCTGCAGCAGCAGCAAGAAAGCGGCCATCCTAACAGGCCGAACATTCCAATTATTTTTGGCAACATGGGGTGTATGTCCACCTCGTATGTTCGGGGTGTGCGTACACATCAGACAGACAGAACATCTATTTCTCTCCCTAAGTCTTTACAGCGGTCCTCTGCTTCTCCACTAAACACTAAACCCTACGTCACAAACCCTGATACTTTTCTACACGGAATCCTCTAAACTCTACAGGGGAAAGGCACACGGCTCCTGGAGCCCTAGACCCTAAACCCTAAACGCTTCCTTGAAAACAATCCCTAAGATCAACGGGAAAATTCCGTGATCAGTGGCCCAGCATGTAGCCTCAGTAGAAGGGGCCCTACACGGGGCCCCTCTTCCGCGGTGAACACAAGCTAGCCAACTGGGGACCCTTCAGCACCAGTCTGAAAGTACCTACAGTTGGGGTCCCTTCTCTCTGAAGGCCCTACGCTTATACATCGATTAGGAGCATAGGGGCCCCTAATGCAACAAACTGAGAGGAATATTCTGTGCAGACTTTAAAAGTGGGGCCCCGTAACCCAGGGGCCCCTTTAGGGGCATCGTATACTTGCAGGCCCTTAACGAATAAGGGACCCCCCGTGATATAGGGGGCCCTTTTGGGGCCCCGTCTCTTGGGAGTCCCTAATCAAGGGGATTTTCCGGGGCGCTCGTGAGGGAACCCCTGGCTTGGCAAGCCGTCTATGGGGATCCCTAATTAGGGCCCTCCATCTCAGGTGAAGGTGGCCGTATGCCAGGGGCCCACTAAGGGGCAAAGGCCCCATGAACATATGGGAGCGGCGTTACGCCTAGACGCACGCAGAGGCATGTTAATGCGCTTTGAACCACTGCAGTAAATAGAACAGAGCGCCACCTGCACGCCCCCACAGAACCAACACAAGCACTAAACCCTAAACCATAATATGTGAAGATATCCGTTACGGCGGCCTACGGTTTGCTGTTCAAAAGACGAACCTGCAAGGAGGCCGATGATCAGAGAGCCGCTGACACCGTCTGCACAGACACCCCAATCCCCAAGCGTTAAACACTAAACCCTCAGCCTTAGACCAAAAACCCCAGACCCTAAACCCTGTGCCTTAACGCCTGAATCCAATCCCGTGTTTATCCTACCGTAGGCTGCACGATCCAGGATAAGGCTATGCAGAGACAGCGCCGATAAATTCCGCGGCTCCTGAACACCCAAACCGTAAACCCTAAACCATAAACCCTAAACCGAGAGTGCAACAGCATCCATAATAATAAGCCATAATAGCCACGTATCTGCCTCCTCTCCGTTAAGGGTTTAAAGCTAGGGTTCTAGCGTTCCGCGTCTAGTGTTCAGGGTTTAGGGTTTAGGCACCATTCGAAGAAGCGCTTCCACCCGGCGCTTGGCAAGAGAGTAATGCCCCAGCTTCAGGTACACCAACGCAAGCTGAAAGAGGCAGTCCGACCTGAGGCGCAAACGAAGACCTCTAAACCCTAAACCCTAGAGCTTCATTCAGTGCTGTCGGCTCTGGGCCTCGAACCGAACACTTGAAAAAAAAAAAGCTAAACACCGGGTCAAAACCCTACGACATACACGCCAGCCAAACAACTCCAAAGCCAGCGCGTAAACCCTAAACCCTAAACACTAAACCCCGCCGGACCTGCAGAAGCCGATCTCGAGGAGTTCCGTGAGGAGGTCCGCTGAGTCCCTTAAGTCTTTGTCGTTGGGCGAACAAATCAAAAGAGAGGCAAATTCAAACTGCAACCGCGGGCAGGGAGAGCCGCTCTCAACTTGCTGCGCGCAAACCCCATATCCTAAACCCTAAACCCTAACAAAATGTATGCATGAACCAGCAGATGCATGCATCCTTCCAACCATATACAAACATATACACCCCAGCCCAGAAGTGCATCAAAGTAACTGATCTGCTTGTGCCTACATATATATATATATATATATATATATATATATATATATATATATATATATATATATATATTGAATGCAAGTCTGCCTAACAGCCCAAACACGAAAGCAAACATGGATATACCGCAACACAGGAAACAAAACGGAGGCAAAGATAAGAAATAGAGAAGAGCAAGCACGCAGACAAAAGAAACAAAGTAATGGCTCCGGGAAACGACGAAGACCACGGCATAGAAATATATGCTGAAGGATACAACAGATACGGGGAATAAAGGAACACGAAAGCACAAAGAGACAAACACAAGCAAACGCAGAGGGAGAAACAGGAAAAACAAGCGAAAGACAAAGGGGAAGCTCTAGTGGCCCTACTTCAAGGTATTTCGCCCGTAGAGCTTCTGTCTCGGCCTTGAGGTCAAAGCTCAAGGCTCCGCTCATCTTCAGTCCCCAAACCCTAAACCCTAGACCCAAAACCCTCAACCGTGGATACTAGGACCTAGATGCGCCATGCGCGGGGCAGACGGTTTCCGCGTGGTCTTTGGGCTGTCTGTTCGCGTTGAAGCGGGAATATATGCGGTTGTAGCTCCTCAGAAAGCGGATGGAGGGTCAGGTGTACGTACACCTGCTGCAGCTAAGCGAATGCAGTTCTTAGCAGCTACAGAAAGGTAACAGCATCGGCCACAAGCCCCCGACCCGAGAGCCCAGGCCCTGAGCCCTTATCTCTATACCCTAAACCCTACACTCGTTATGCCTTGTAGAGTCAAAAAAAGCGATAATCTTCAGGGCAAAGCGGATGCAGTACATATAAGAAACTCTTGAGCTACCATCGTGTCGCCGTCAGCCCCAAAGATTGGCGTGCAGAGAGTAGGCGTCTTTGGGGCCCGTTTCGCGGGAAATCCAAATAGATTTCGCGAATTAACGGAATAAATGTTAAAATAACGAGAACGAATACAAAGGTGAGGGGGGAAGGAGACCGTATTCCCTGACCGGCTCGCACGAAGTGCCTAGACACCAGAAGTACACACCTCCAGGTCTGTGACATTCGCATTTCTTCTTCCGACGTTTCTGTAGCTTCTGACGGCTTTCCAATCCCGATTTCTGGAATTTGTGGCCCCTCCGGCTGCCATAACACTCCGCTTATCGTGGCCGCATCTCAGGTCTACAGACACCTTGAAACACAATGTTGGGTGTCGCGGCGAGGGGCATCGGGCGGCGCCCTGCAGCAGCAGCAGCAGCAGCAGCAGTATCGAGGTCTCTTAGCGTTGGGGTACCCATGACAGCGGTAGCAACAGCAACAGCTACAGCAGCAACAGCAGCAGGAGCCTCTCGTCAGTTTTCGGGTGTTAGGTTTCTGGATGAGAAGAGGACTGGAGAGGAGACTGTGTACTTCAAGAAAGAAGGTGCGCCCAGTTGAATGGCATTGTGTGCCTTTCTTCTTTTGTCTTTGTCAGTGTGCGAATACTGCTCGCCTGGTTTCGTTTGTAGGATCACCACTGCCTCCCCGCTACTGGTGCTGTTGCTCCACGCTCATCCGCTTCTAATTGTTGCGGGTTGGTGCTACTGCTAATGCCACTACAGCTTATTCTGCTGCTGCTGTTGTATTGCAGACGAGGCGTTGCTGCGTCGTTTGTTAGCAAAGCATCCGGAGGCAGATCCCAAGTTTCAGTCGAGTGGGGGGAGTGCGTCTTTGGAGTCTCTGCAGAGTTCCTTATCTCTCTGTGTCTCTAAGCACTTCAAGCAGCAGGCCCCAAAGGCTTTCCTTGATGAGCTGACGACCATCTTCGCTAGCCACGGCTGGCAACCGCCGGAAGATCTCAAGGGCCACCTTCTCCGCTCCATGCAGACAAAACCCCGCGGCGCCAGCTAGCTAGCTAGCTAGTTAGCTGGGCTTCTAGCTGGCAAACGGCATGACGAAACTGCTGACTGAAGCCAGGCTGAAGCCGTGGCATAGTCCGCATCCCATCAAAATACGAGCCTCACCCACGGCTCCCCCAGCTATGAAGGCAGCTGGCTGGATGTACAGCTAGCTGGCTGTTTGTACAGCTAGCTGACTGTCTAGAGGAGAGGAGCGGCTCGCTAGGGAGGCGGGAGCTACCTGCGAGGTATTTTGCTTGGGAATTTCTGGCACTCTTTTCTGCATCTGTCGAGTTAATTGTTGTTTCGTTTATTGATTGTTGTCTTATCTGACGTTTGAATGCCTGTTGCAGTTGCTGTGTGCTCGGGGTGATGAGGCAGTTGCGTTCCTAGGCCATCTGCCGTCGAATCGCCGGAGAGAGGGGGGGGTACTTTTGTTTTGCCTCTTGTTTGGCTTTCCACGCCAATACCCTTTACCTCAGTCAAACAAACAGACACTGCGAGAGGCAGAGGCAGGCAGAAGCAGGGGAGACAAAGGGGAACGGCAACAGAAACAGACAGACACACGCGGAAACAAACAGGCAGACAGAAGTAGTAGCATAGAGAGACAAACGAAGACAATCAGATAGACAGAAAGAGAAGCAAAGACAAGGACAAGGAACAGACAAGAAGAAAAAAGGAGGCAACAGAAACATACAAACGGAAGTAGAGGCAGAGGCAGACACACTAAGACCTAACTCTAAACCCTAAAAGAACCCAAAACAGAGACCGATACAGAGGCAGATGCAGAGGCTATCCTAGACAGAAAGTGCACCAAAAGGGGTCAGCCACCTAGGCAGGAGCGGAGACAGACACAGACAAAAACACAAAAACAAAAAGGCAGAGACATATAGCTAAACACCCCCTAGAAAAATGCAAACAAGCAAAGGGGAACGCAAACAAGCAGATACAAAGGCAAACAAACGGAGACAAACGAAAAACGATGGACGAACGAACAAAAGCAAACAAAGAAAAAGGCAAACAAACGAACGCGGGAACACAAAGGCGAACAAATGAAGGCAATCGAGCAAAGTCATACGACGGAAGACAAATACAAACAACCGTAGGCAGAGCAAAAGACTTGGCCCACGGGGCCCACAGACGCGCTCTTGAGACTGATGCAAGTACGAGTGCATAGGGATGCATATATTGCTGTATATGTTCATAAATGTCCATATATATATATATATATATATATATATATATATATATATATATATATATATATATATATATATATATATAGGCGGGCGTGTATATATATAGGCGGGCGTGTAGGTGAAGATTGCTTGTACGGAGGTGCGTATGTACGGCCGGGCATTCAGTTCCTCTCCGTTGTTGTTTGTTTTTGCCTAACTGCATGCAGCGCTTGAGGCTTCTGCTGCTCTCAGGGGCACCTCCTAGTGCCCTAGGGTCTCCTGACCACCTGCCTTTTGCTGTGTGCGGAACTGCAATTTTAATCTGTCTGCGAATATTATAACGGTGTTCGATGCCCCTAAGGCTTTAACTGTGCTACATAGAAACGACCAGGCAAAAACCCACAAGCAAAGGGAAAGACAAAAGGAAAAGAAAAAGCCCAACCGGGGGTCTAAGGGGCCCCTCGGAGCCCCAAGGCAATCCGTTTAGGGGCAACCGGGTGCTCCCAGGGCACTGAGGGCCCGGATATTGCTTAAGAGGAGATGCCGTACTTCATGCAGCAGCGACAGGGGCATCAGTTGCTGTTCCTGCTGCTGCGGTTGCTCTGGTTGCAGCTGGTGCTGCTGCTGCAACTGTAGCTCATGCTGCAGAACCCCCACCCAGTCCTGGAGAGCAGCAAGGAGGGGCCCTGCGTGCTGTTTGAGTTTATTGGCTGGGCGAAAGTCGGAAAGGAAGACATGTGAAAGCAGCAGCAGCGCGTCGCGCAGCGCTCGCCCCCAGTGTTGCTGTTGCTGTTGGTGCTGCTGCTGCTGCGCGTCTCTGCCTGAATTCTGGGTCGGCTGAGAGAGAACAGCCTGCGGGGAGAGGCGGACCATGAAAAGGAAAAACAAAGCGTCATGGAAGGCAGCTGAGTGCTGCAGCAGTAAAACCGCGCGTGCAGCTGCTCGAGGTACGGCCTGTTCCTTTGATCTGCGAGGAGAGGCAGAGACAGACGAACTGTCGTCAAATGCCTGCGGCTCTGCGAGGCGTACATCAAGCCGCTCTCCTGCTGCTCCTTCTGCTGTTGCTTCTGCTCCTGCTGCTGTTAGAGAGACGAAAAAGTGCAAAAGAGCTGCTACCAACTGCAGAGGCAGCTCAGGGAGCATAAGCGGCGCCACAAAGTCCTCCAGCGACTCCTTATCACTCCCTCCAAACGTCCGCGCCTTTGCGTGTGAGGAACCTGCAGCAGCAGCAGAAGCAGTAGCGGCAGCAGCAGCAAAACGAGGTTGCATGGGCGTGAATTAAGACGTCAAATGCAAAGAATCACTCCATAAGCAACGGCAGTGGCTTGCTAAGCAGCAGGAGCAGCAGGAGCAGCTGCTGCTGCTGCTGGCTTTGACAGCGCGTGGCCGTCGGGCAGCAGCAGCAGCAGCACCGAGCTCCACAGAATGAACCTCATAGAACCTCATCAGAGGTGTGCAGTGTATGGGCAGCAGCTAACGAGGCGTACCTGCTGCTCCGTTTGAAAATAGGGGGGCGAGGCATCTCCTGTCTGCTGCTGCTGCTGTTGCTGCTGCTGCTGCGGCGCCTAGACATTCGAGCTGTGCAGACAGTAGCAGCAGATCGACCGGGCTAAGGCTCCACCGCATGCGCGTAGAACTAGCCGCAGCAGCTGCTGCTGTCCTGTTGTTGTTGTTCCGCTGCAGCAGATGCTGCAGCCGGGGCCGCAGGGACGAAGCAAGGGCTTCTATGAGCTGCGCCAGGAGCGGTCCCCCTACACCTGGGCCTACGGTGTGCTGCAGCAGCAGCAGGACGCTGCAAAGAAGGCGCGGCGGCAATTTCTGCTGCCGCGCCCTGCTAGTGCTGCTACCGCTGCTGGTGCTGCTGCTGAGCGAGTTGCACACAGAATCCACCAAAGCAGCAACAACTCCAGCTTCCTGCAGACGAAGGCTTAAGAGGGCCTCACCCGTCTGCAGCAGCTCCAGGCCGGACGTCCCTGATGCACTTCTGCTGTTTGGCGCCCCCAGCAATGAAATTAGCTGCCGCGCAGAAATGCATCGCTGCAAAAACTGCAGCAGCTGCACGCGCACGAACAAAAACAACAACCAACAGCCGCATCAGCACATCAGCACCATGGACGGCGCAGTCCTATGCCCGAAGTACAGCTCCTGCAAATGCTACTGCTGCTGCTAGTGTTGCTGCTGCTGCTACTGCTGCCTTTACTACTACTGCAGCACAGAGTGTGAATTACCAGGCTGAGGAGAGTCTGTTGCAGGGAGCAAAGACGCCATAAGGCACTGACTGCAGCAACCACTGCGCCGAAAGGTAGCGGAGCGGCAGCAGCAGCCGCAGCAGCAAACCCATCCGGTGTGCAGGTTGACGCTGCTGAAAGCAGCTGTAGAAGCAGCAGCACGCGATGCAGCAGCAGATTGCCGCAGCTGCGTCCACAGTTACTGACACTGAGAAGCGATCCCAAGTCCCCAACACCATCGTCCCGGTGATGCGGCTGCTGCGGCTGCTGCTGCAGTCGTAAAGACGGGGGCTTCTGCTGGAGCCTCTGGGCACCCAACGTAGCAGCAAAGTTCAGCAGAGACGCAGCTGCAGCACCATGGAGAAGACACTCCAATGCTGCTACCAAATGAGCTGGGAGAAGCACCGGATCCTGCTGCTTCCTGCTGCCGCTGCTACTGCTGGTGTCCGTTGAGGAAATAAAGCGGGTCCATGCTGCAGCCGTTGCTGCGGTGGGATGCCCCGCAAACAGCAGCAGCAGCAGCTCGCCGAGTGCATGCAGCAAGCAGCTGTTACGGTACTCCTGCCGATTCTGCTGCAGAAGCAGCAACTGATGCTGCTGTTGCTGTTGCTGCTGCTGTGACAAGTCGTTGTCTAATGGAAAATCAACAAGGTTCTGCTGCTGCTGCTGCCAAACGGGGTTGCCCTCCCCTGCGGCTGCTGCAGACATGGAGTGTACAGACAGCTGAGAAGCATTCATCGGACTGCTGCAACAACTGCTTGATGGGCGTCGTTGCTGGTGCAGCTCCTGCTGTCGAGGTTGCTGGGATGGTGAGAAGAGGCCATAGGCTTTGCTGCGGCATCTTCCTTTGCTGCCTGTAGGGCTAGCAGCGGCAGCAGCTGTTGCTGCTGCTGCTGTTGCTGCTGCGCTGTGGCGCCTCGAACTCTGAGGAGGCCGCTGGTGTAGGGAGACGGCGCATGCAGCAGCAAGACTGCGGCAGCGCAACTGCTGCAGCAGGAGGTTAGCAACAGCTGAGAACAGGCCTACCGCCATCCGCGGATCAGCGGGTAGCAGTATGGGCTGCTGCTGTTGCTTCTGCTGTGTATCTTTCGTGGCATACAACTGCAGATGTCCGTGTGGGAGGGGCGGCACCAGCGGAGGCAGCAGAAAGGAGGGGGCCCCCGATAAGGGCAGTGGGGTTTCCTGCCCCCCCTCCACGTCTAGTTGGGCTTTTGTGGGTCTGAAATAATTTGCAGAGGAGTCATAAGACAGCCGCAGCAAACAGACTGCCAGTGCTGCTGCCTCCCGAGACACTCCGGATGAACTTGAAGCACCGGCACCCACAGGCTGAGACGCACCACACGCAGCAGCAGCAGCAACAGTAGCAGCAGCAGGAGCAGCAAGAATAACAATATATGCGTCAGAAGGGGGTGGAAAAGAGAAAATAAAGTTGTCCATTGACGGGCGTGCCGGTTCAGGTGTACGCACATCGCGCAGACTCACCTGGAGACACAAAACAATAAACAGCCACAAGGAAGGAGACGCCCACAAGTACTCAGCAGCAGCCCTCTCTGCAGCAGCAACAGCAGCTGCGGCTGCTGCTGCAGGTCCCATCTGCTGGTTACCCTGAAGCGTCTGCAGCAAATCGTCATCCAGTTGCTGCTGCTGCTGCCGCTGCCGCTGTAACTCCTCCCTCTGCTGCAGCAACAGCAGCAGCACCGATGTCTCTCCTGGAAGCTGCTTGGCTACTTGCAGCGCCGTCTGTCGGTGCAGCGCAACAAATAGCCGCAGCAGGAGCAACAGCAGCTCATGGACAATGTCAGCGGTGGCCTTAGGACGGCGCCCATCTGTTGCTGCTGCTGCTGCTGCGATGCGCCTGTTCCGCCAGCTGTCAAGCTCCTCCCCGCTGCAGCAGCTGCAGCTACCGTTGCTGCTGTGGGAATGCCGCAGCAACAGAACCGACGTCGCCTGCACCAATGCCTCTACATGTCGCAGCAAGGCAAACGACTCGCTGTCAGCTCTCGCTCCTGTTGCCGGAGGTGCAGCAGCAGCAGCAGCGCTGTTGTTGGTGCCAAGGCACGGCCCGAGCATGTCTGTCCCATCTAGAAGGTTCAGCAGCAGGTGCAACGCTCTGCAGCACTTGGTTATCTCCTGGACGCCCACGGAGGCTCCAACGGCGGCGGCTGCATCTGCTGCAGCAGCAAACGCAGCGGCTGCTTCTTGAGTTCCCACCGCCGCAACAGCAGCAGCAGCAGCAGCAGAGAATGCTGCCCCCCCTGTCGCTCGATGGAAAGGCACCAGCAGCACGGGGTGCGGCCGCGGGCACACTGCAGCAACAATATTACTCAGAATGCTGCTATCGCTGCTGGAGTCTCTGCTGCTGCTGCTGCTCCATGTGTGCGCAGCAGCAGATGTACCCGTCTGGTCGCCCTGCTGCTGCTGTTGTTTTTCCTTGTGTGGCTGTTGTAGTAACTGCAACAAGGGCCCGGCATGGGCTTGCGCAGAGCAGCACAGGAGTTCAAGAGCTGCAGTGAGGCCGTTTAATGCGGACTCATGAGACATAGCGCCTAACTCGCTGGTGTTGCAGCAGCTGCTGCTGCTGCTGCTGTTGCTGCAGACAGTGAGAAAGGCAGCAAAGGTGCGGTGTACGAATGAATCACTTGCGACCCACTCGTCCAAAGCAGCAGCAGCAGCAGCAGCAGACGTCGCGTAATCCTCTTTCATTCCTACTGGAGAGATACCGCTGCCACCGCTGGTGCTGCTGCTGCTGGTGCGTCTGCTGCTCCACCGCAGCGTGGATAGACACTGGAGTGCTTCCGCCACCTCCCTGCAGCTCGACGAGCAGCAGCAACAAAATCCACCTGGCAGCAGACCCTTCCGTCCCAATAGACGCTGACAGATTTCAGAACAAGTCCAAGAATACATATGCAGAAGCAAGTCCTGCTGCTGCTGCTGCTGCAGCTGTTGCTCTGGCAGATGTTGCTGCGGCTGCTGCTGCTGTTGCAACTGTTGCAAAAAGCCTGAGGCCACATGAAGGCAGCTCCGCAAACAGCGCCAAGCGGCCACGCGGATCGCCGGGTGAGCCTTGCCCATAAAGGAAAATAACAGCTTCACCTGAGCCTCGAGCAGCGCTTGCTGCTGTTTCTGCAGCTGGTACTGCTGGTAGTGGCTTTGTGCCAGGCCTGCTGTTCCCGTTGCTGCTGATTCCTGCCACTCTGCTGCCGCATGTGCAGCTGCAGCAGCAGCAACAGCAAATGAGTTGTGGGCGACGCATATCCTCAGAGCCTCCAGGGCATCCGCTACGGGCTGCTGCTCCTGCATGGATGCTTCGTCTTGCCCTGTTAAACGCGAATGTAGCTGCAGCAGCTGCTGCAACTGCAGTTGCAGCAGCACGCTGCTGCTGCTGCTGCTGTGCTCGTTTGTGTTTAGGCCTCCCGCGAATACCGCTGAATCAAAAGGCCACAGCTCGTCTGTCTGCGCTCGAGGCAGGCGAATCTTACTGCTGCTGCTGCTGCACGGGCGTGGGGGAAGAGAATGCGGCAGAGCAACAGCAGCAAGCTGCAGCGCCGCCCGTCGTAGCAGCGGCAGCTGCGCAGAAACCCCAAGAAGACTCCCACAAAACTGAGAAAGGTTCGGGAGGGCCATCCACCTGCTGCAGCACTCGCATTCGCTGCTGATGTTGTTTGTGTTGTTGCTGCTGCTGCTGCAGCTGTATGCCGCGCCTGCAGGGGCTGCAGCAACTGCCGCTAGGGGAAGCAATTCCGTCAGCAGTTGCGTGCCCAGCAGCAAAAGGTCGATCTCGCCACTGCAAGCTGCAGCAGCACCACCAGAAGCGGGCTGCTGCTGTAGCGTTTCCTCCCATCCTGCTGCTGAAGCTGCTGCTGCTTGCTCCTCCGCCCCCAGCATTGTCTCTGCCACCTGCTGTGCCAGCTGCTGCAGGTAGGGGTAGGTGTAGCGCTTCACTGCAACAGCAACGGCCCGTAGGCCCTTGGCAGCAGCAGCTGACAGAGAGCAGCAGCAGCACCAGCGTGCCATTGCTGCTGCTGCTGCCAGCCCGTTCCGGCGGAGGCAGCAGACAGCGGCAGCAGCAGAATCCCCTGGCAGCTGCAGCGCTGCCGTTATCTTCCTGCAAGACTGCAGCGCCTCCGCGTAGGTAACAACATCAGACGGCCGGTTGCTGCTGCTGCTACCTGCAGCAGCAACAGCAGGACTCGAAGCAGCAACAGCAACTGGAAGTGTACAGTAGCTATCACCTAGCCACTGCTGCTGCTGCTGCTGCTGCTGCAGGCGCAGCGGTGGTAGGGCCCCCTGCAGCATCGGGGGGTGTGACAGTACGCCTAAGAGTTTCTTCAGCGTGGGGTTCACAGGCAGCAGCAGCTGCTGCGCTGTCTGGCGAGACAGGCTCAGCCGGGAGATAGCGAATTCAGTTTTACTATCTGTGCCTTCAGGAGAAGGCTCTGACAACGTGACCCCCAAGTACACAGACTGCGAACGGCAGAGACAGACGCTGCACTCGGCTGGTGCTGCATCAGCTGCTGTCGTTGCTGCTGCGGTTGTTGCTGCTGCTGCGGGAGCCGCGGTGGTGGCAGAAGAGGGCTTGGAAGGGGGGCCGCTCCGCATGCCGCTGTCCTCTATACGTGGGTCATCTTGCTGCAGCTGTGGCGCTGCACTGCCTCCAGCAGCGGCAAAAGCAGCAGTCGCCGTTGCTGCTGCTGCTGCTGCTTTAAGAGCGGGAGGGTCGCTAACCAGCTGGCTAGCCACGAGGAAAGCCAAATCTTCGCTGCGGTTAGCCCATGCAGCCTGTGCTGCAGTGGAGCAGCTGAATGTCGCCGTTTCCATGGGCAGCTCGACGCGCAGAGACAGCCAAGTGGGAAGCAGCAGCCGCAGCGGCTGCTGCTGCTGCTGCTGCGTTTGCTGCTGAGGCTGTGGCTCCCGCAGCAGCGTTTCCAGCTGCGGGCCCAGCGGACACAGTCGGTGTGGCAGCAGCAAAGACTGCTGCGGATGAAACAGCAGCACTGCACACAACTGCAGACAGGCAACAGACAAAGCCGCCTGCCTGGAGAAGCACAGCAGAGCCAATGTATCCCCAAGCAGGTGTCTGTACACCTCAATTACGGGATAGAGCAGCGGATCTCCGGGAGGCAAAAGCAGCAACGGAAGCGACAACACGCGAGCTGCTGCGGTCAGCAATGCCTGTTGCTCTTGCTGCTGCTGCTGATGTGATAGCTGCTGTTGTAGCAGATCCTGCTGTTGCTTCTGCATCTGCACTGCAAGGCGTAGCAGCTCAAGAAGAGAGAGGAGCAACGGCTCGTCTTCGTCTCCTGCAGCACCCACGCCCGCCGTCGCCGCAGCAGCCGCTGCTGCTGCAGCGGCAGCTGCAGCAGCTGCGCCTCCTTTTAACAAGTGCCCAGGTAGTGCAGCTAGAAGCGAGCAACAGAGCTTGCGGAGGAAAGGCCTCGCGCCCGTAGGGCTGGAGTGTACATACACCTCAAGCGTGTTCAGAGACTCCGTGCGGGTTGAGGCACAGAGGCGCCCGTTTGCAGCAGCAGCACAAAGAAGCTGCACTTCTGCTTCTTCCAGTAGCTGCCCGCAAACCTGCTGCTGCTGCTGCTGCTGCTTCTGCTCTGACCACAGCCTCAACGCGGCGCCGACAGGATCCGTTTCCAAAGAACCCGGGAGCTGTAGCAGACACTTCAGAGCTGTTGCTGCGCTCTGCCGCTGTTGCGCGGACACAGAAAACAGCCGCTGCAACAACAAGAGACGGTAGATGTGCCCCTGCTGCAGCAGCAAACGGCCACTGCGCCCCCCCTGCTGCAGTGCCCTGTTGCACTCCTCCAGGAGGCAGGGGTCATACATGTCAATCAGGCAGGCGCAGGCGCACAGCACCTGCTGCTGCTGTTGCTCTTGCTGCTGCTGCTGCTGCAGAAGCAGCAGCAGATGTGTGGCAGCGCTGCAAACGAATCGACGCGGCGCATCTCCGATGAGAGACACCGCCTCCAGGAGACAGTCCGGCTGCAGCAGCAGCGAGGGTCCACTGGCAATGCTGCTGCATGCAAGGAAGCAGAGTCTGTCGCATGCCCACTGCTGCGGGCACGAAAGCAGTAGCAAAGCTCCAAAGAGGTGAGTAGACACTTTACAGCCACAGCTACCAGGACTCGGCGCATCCCCTGCTGCTCCCGCTGCTGCTGCTGCTGCTGCTTCTGCGGTGGTGTGGTCAATAAGCTCTAGCACGACAGCTTGCAACTGCCTGCAACAACCATTGCTGCTATTGCTGCGTTCATGTGTCGCTGCGTCGCCTTGCAGCCTCTCCAGCAGCAGTACCTGCAGCACGGCTGCAACGACGTGGCCTGGGCTGCTGGCATGTGTGCTGTGGCCTCCTAAAGCATTTTCGAATTGCTTGAAGACGCACATTCTGCTGCTTCTGCTGCTGCCTTTCTTGTGGCTGCTGTTGCTGCTCGCCTGAAAAAAAAGCGCTGTGGAGTGCTGCTGCACGCTGGCGTATGGCCTAGCAGCAAATGCAGCAGGAAGAGCAGCAGCAGTAGCAAGACCGTCTATGCAGGAGACGGCAGCGGCCATGTAGAGGCCATCTCTAAGTGCCCTAGCAGCAGCAGCAGCAAAACAGAGTTTCTCTGGCATTTGATGCCCCTCCTGGAGAGTAAGCAGCGACTGCTGGCTGTGCAATCGCTGTTGCTGCCGTTCTTGCTGCTGTCGCTGCTGCTGCTGCTTGTCTAGCTGCAGGTCAGCGCCGCAGGAGTCAAGCAACAGGGGCAGTAGGAGGGGGCGAACAAGGGGAAGGGAGGAGCGCAGCAGCAGCTGTACCAGCAGCACGTCGAGACCAGCAGCAACAACCCAATCTAGGCGAGGTCGCCCTGGCGGCAACAACAGCAGCAGCTGCTGCAGCACATCCACCCAAGCTGAGCCACACCACAACAGAAGCCACCACGTTCACTCTTTAACACTTCTGCAGCATCAGAATCAGCTGTAACAGAAGAAGCAGGAAGTAAGACAGCAACCGCAGCGACAGAAGCAGCAGCAACGATGCCGAAGCCGCACGGGTGCAAGAGCAAAAATCGGCGCAGCAGCAGCAATGGGCGTTAACAGCATAAAGAGAGAAGCTGCTGCATACACAGCACGAAACCTGACGGCACTGGCAAGCCCCGTAGGGCTCGCAGCAATGCAGGAGATGCGGCACGTATTTTCATCAGCAGCAGCAACAGCAGCAAGGACGACGATATGTACCGTCTTGGCGGTCTGTGAGGGGGCGGGATATGAGTCGTGGGTTGATAGCGTTGATGGGGGGAAATGCACCGTCTTTGGGGGCATCGAGCAGCAAAGTCCTCAGCGTATCCTCCTGCAGCACCAGTTGCTGTTTGTGCTGCTGCTGCTGCTGGAAGTACTCAACAGGAAACAGATGAGTTGCTGCTGCCAGCAGTTCGTGCCCAGCATGCACCAGCTGCTCATCAGACAGAGGGCACCAAGCAGCAGAACTGCTGTTGCTGCTGTTGCTGCTGAAGTGCAGTAAGGCTGTAACGTCTGCTGCAGCAGCTATGAGTCCCGACAAAAGGGGCATCACTTGGGGGTGCAGTAGCAGCACGTGCTGCTGCAGCGCAGCAGAAAGAATGGGTGAGAGGAAGGTACGAGGCGAGGAAGTAGGAATGAGGCACCGGCAGCTGCGGTAGGCATTGCGCAGCTGCTGCTGCAGCTGCACCTGTTGCTGCGGCTTCTGGCTGCTGCTGCTGCAACTGTGCCGCAGCAGCTCAACAGCGTGCCTCGCTAACTGGCCAGTTGCTGCATCGGCGAAGTCTGAGAGGTCCAACGAATCCGTGAGAGGCTCCAGCAAGGCCTGAACAACACCGGAAGCAGCAGCAGCAGCACATGAGAAGCTAAGAAGAAACCAGCAGGCAAAGTTGAGTCATGCAGGAGCAGCACCAGCAGATGTTCAAGCAAACACAGTTGCATCAGGGGCAGCAGTAGCAACGATGCATCAGCAACGAAACCAAGCAGTCAGCTGCAGCATCTAAAGCGGCAGCTGCAGCAACAGCAGCAGAAACACCTCCACCGTTACCTCTCGCAGTTTATGCAGAATCTTCGTTTGCGCCTCCAGAACCGCAACGGCGAACTCAGGAGCTGCTGCTGCAACTCCTGTTGCTGCTGCTGCTCCTGGTGCTGTCTCTCTTGCTGCTGCTGCGTGGGGTGGGAAGGCAGGTAGGCCCTTCCAGCCGCTGCAGCGCTTCTCTAGCGCTTCAGCGAGCCCCAGCAACAGGGAGGTATGCTCCCCATCATCTTGCTGCTGCTGCCGTTGCGGCTGCTGCTGCAGTTGCTGCTCGTGCAGCAGCAACAGCAAAGATGGCGGGAAATCCTTGAGGAGGTCATGGGGCAGAGATCTGCACAACTGCTGCACAACATGAGGCTCCAGAGACCCAGATACAAGCGCCGACCTACAGCAAACAGCAGTAGCAGCAGCAAAGGTTGCCTCAAGCCACATTGCATGCACGGATAACCTGGCAGTGTCTAAGCAGCGAATGTAGCAGCAAAGGAGCAGCAGTCGTGCAGGGGCTATCGGCTGCAAGAGCAACAGCGCCAGCAGCGCGTGGGACCACAGCAGCAGCATGGGAGGCCGTAGCTGCAGGAGCTGCACAGGCTCACGTTGTGCCTTTGACCAGACATATATCTGCAGCGCTGCACAGTTGCAGTTTCTTCTCAATATATAAGGCCAAGTGATCGCTTGTTGCTGTCGCTAGTGTTGCTGATGGTGCAGCTGCTGCGGGTGCTCCTGTTGCTGCTGTTGCTGCCTCCCCGGCAGTCGACGTGGCGAACGGGACCCGTTGAGGATGCTTTTGTGTCTCAGGAGCGGCAGCAAGAGCAGCTACAGCAGCATCAAACCCTGAGGTGTGAGCTGCAGCCGCAAGAGGGGATTTGCTGCTGCTCGGCATCTTAGGTGTGCACATGCATGCACTGCAGCAGCAGGAGCAGAAACAGCATGCCTTCCATTCAGCCAAGAGTGGGGCCCGTCTGCAACAACGGAGCTGCTCGACATGCAGCAGCTGCTGCTCCTCCTAATCCGCGGTTGCTGCTTCTGGCTAATAATAGCATAGACGCATAGAGTTGTTGCTGCCGCCTAGGTTGCTGGTGCTGCATTTCTAGATGTTTCTGATCCTGCTGTTGCTGGAGCAGCAGCTGTATTGCTGCTGCTGCTGCTGCTGCTGCTGTCGCGGCATCCGCTGTTGCTGCTGCCCCCGCTGTTACAGCGATTCCTGCTGATCCCGTTCGTGCTGTTGCAGCAGCTGAGTGTCTGTAAAGCAATTGTGGCGCCTTGTGGTGCTGCAGCAGGCTGCGGTGTACGCGCCGCAGCAGGAGAGGTGTATTATGAGTCAAAGAAGGGCCCCAAGACAGCAGACGACCCTCCTATACCGCCGTTCCCCTGGCATAGGTGAGGTAGCTGTGGGCTGCCATGAGATTCTCCTTTAGGCTTATTTATCATTTGCTAACTGAAATGAGCTTCATTAAACCACAAAATGAACGAAGAAGTGCATACACTAGCAACCCCACCTCCAGTAACACAGACCCCACGCACTCGACCCGCCGCAAAAGCCCGAAGCCCCGGCACAGAAAACCTAAGCCCTAAACTCTAAGTGCTGATTATTTTTGTGTAAACTGCTACTCAGACGCTGTTTCGATTAGCCAATCCTAGACCCTGGGCCCTAACCCCCCAACCCTAAGCCCTTGGTCGCTGTGCTGTGAACGAGGCCCCCCTTTTGGCCTTTATTGCTGGACTCTCCCTCTTTCAAGATACCTGTTCTAGCCTGAGGCAGCTAGTGTGTTACAGATACTGCTGCTGTCGCCTCTTCCGTTGGCGCCGCAGCTGCTGCTGCGCTGTTGCTGCAGCACTTGCTGTTGTTGCAGCAGTTGCTGTCGCTGTAGCCTTTGCTGTTGCTGCTGTTGCTGCGATAACGGGGCAAAATGAAGACGGAAGAGCCCCTGCTGGACCGCGCTGGGGTGTACAGGGAGCTACAGCGGCTTCTGGATGCCGACAGCAGCAGCAGCGTGTTGGAGTTTCTGCCGGAGGAGAGTCGGGGTATATGGGCGGCTCTGGGTGCAGCTGCAGCAGCAACCTCAGCCAAGCAAGCTCGCGCGGGCGAGACAGTTGAAGCGCAGGAGGAGATGTCGCTGCAGCGGCTGCAGCAGCTGCTGGAAGAGGCAGCTGCAGGTGTTCCCGTCTATCTAGGCGCAGCAGGTGAAAAGGATCCCCAGACTTCTCCTCGTTTCCTTTTAAACAAAATCATTCCCCAAATACTTGCATCCAGACCTCTCCTGCAGCAGAAAGATTTCGTCGGTAGGTCTTCATCTTCCCTCTCCTTCTGACCTGCTGTACGTTCACCGGAATTGCAGCTACCAACTCTCCTGTTGCTGATAGCTTGTGGGGCTCATCAGCGCAGCCTCTTCTTTCTCGAGTCAACTGCTGCTCGTCTCAACTCATTAACCCCTTCCATACGCTGTTAACCCCTTCAATACGCTCTACAGGCTTGCAACCAGCAGCTTTACAGTGGCCGCTGATGATCCAGCAGCAGCAGCAGCAGCAGCAAGGGGCCTGTGTGTCTGTGATTTGACGCAGAGGAGACGGAGGTGGTTATGGGTTGTGCTGAAGGGTGTATGGACGGCAACCGATGCATCAATAAGCAGCAGGTAACGGCCTTCCCTGTGTCTCCTTTTGTATCATTCTCTACTGCTCCCGCATCTTATCTGCTCTTGTTTGTTTCTTGTAATTAGTTGCTGTTTTGCTGTTCTCTCTCTCTCTGTCTTTCTCCGTCTCTTTCTCACGATTGCTTTCTGTCTGTCGCTGTTCCCCTGTCCGCTGTTAGTTTGTTTTTCTTTGTCCGTCTGATTCCTTTGTTGGATTTATCTCCTGGTTTACTGTCTTTATTCCCCTCCGTTTGTCTTTCGTCTTTATTCTCTGCTATAAGTGCAGCAATCTGCCAGAGCCTCTGACACCAGGCAGAAGCAGCATGCTGTGCGAGTCTCTGTCATTGTCTCTGTGCCCTCCTGTGTCTCTTTTTGCAGGCGTATATTGGTGTGTTCCTTCCGTGCCTCCTGCCTCTTTATCTGTGCCTCTCTCTGTCTCTACGTCTACCTATGTCTCTGTTTCCGTTTGTATCTTTGTCTGCCTCCGACTATATCTGTCTCTGTACATAGCATTGTCTCTGTATCTCTGTATCTGTCTTTGTGTGCAGGTGTACATTGGTATTTACCCGGAGGTCATGACATCTGGAACAGCTCCTCCTGCCTTGTCCTCTCATCAATCTTCTTCAGTGAGTGGTCTGGTGACCCCTTGCGGTTCGTCTCTGGACGATACTGTGCGCATGCATTTCGTGCTGCAGCAGCAGCGACTGCAGCAGCTGCAGCGGAAGATGCTGACGGCGCTCAAGGGGCAGCAGCAAGCAGACGTCGACTCAAACGACCCGCATCAGCAACCCGTCACAACGCCAACAGTCCGTTTATACAACTCACGAAAGATTCTTTCTGTTAATTAGCATCACACCCCACACCCTGTGTTTCTTCGTCCGCTCGCGCTGTCCCTTTTTCATATATATATATATATATATATATATATATATATATATATATATATATATATATATATATATA